TACCTTTCATTTTGTAACACTTCAACATCAAAACTTACAAGGTGTCTAAAGCCCTGCTAGGATTCTATCAGCAGAGCAAAAGTGATGGAGAAATTATTTCCATTGGTTTCTCTCCCATTAATAGCTTCCCTCCTGAAATCAGAGATGGAAACCTTTCAATTCCAATATTCCTTAAGAAGGAATGAAAGATTGTAGTCTCTACCTATTTTCAGTACAACTTGTTCTGTGGCTCAAATATATTCCAGGCACAGTATTTTATAGGAGCCCTACCAGCAGAGAAGTAAGTGTATATATATAGAGAGAAGGTTTTGTTTATTCTTAAGAAACATATATCAGTCCAGCCTTAGGCATGAAAAGCCAGCTGGGTGACTTTGGGCTAGTTAGTCTCTCTTAACAACTCAATTCACAGAGTGGTGGTTGATGGGGGGCGGGGGGGGAGAGAAATAGGAGGAGCAAGGAGTATTGTCTATATTTGGTATCTTTATAAAGTTTATTTATAAAAAAGGTGGGATATAAACAGAAAAATAAGGGATGGACTGACTGGTCCAACTCTATCTGGAGATTTACTACTACTACTATCTACCATCACAAGTGACATTTCTGGATACCTACTGTAAGTTCATCCGCCCAAAAAGTCTAGCCTAAGGCAGAGCTAGATAGACAAGATCTAGCCAATCTGAGCTGATCTCAAAAAGTTAAGCAGAGTCAGATATGTACAGTATTAAGAGGAGAGACCACCAATAAATCTCAAGATTGTTGACTAAACTGGAAACTAAAATTTTTAAAAAACCTGGAAATACATTATTGCCAAGAAAACTACAGATTTGCACGAGGCCAAAGGGAGTTTAATTAATTTTACCATACCAGACCTAACATACTGATGGAATAAATAATAATTATTAAGATTTGGCACAGTCAGGTTATTATTTTAAATAATAATAAAAACAGTGCATACTATTACCAGAGATCCATTATCCACTAATATACCTCATTTCCTTATGTGCCTTATTTGTCTTTTATTGTGAACCAATACAATAAACATGACATTATAAGATGATGGCATGTATCATTCTCTACTTTGAATTGTTCTGAATATGATAAAAGTTGTTTCTCTGGAAGATGGGGAACAATATTGAAACTGTCAAGAAACTTTGATCTGCCTTTAAACATGAATGCTTTAAGACAGCCATCTAGTTTTTGCTTGTGAAATAATTCATGGGGTATGTTCAGTGCTACACTATTGCATAAGATGGGTAGCAGTAACAGTACCATATTCTCTTGCTGGTTGAGTTGTGACTTTGTAATGTCAGAATGTAAACTATGGGTTACTGCTAACAGGATCAAAAGCTAGTGAAGTAAAGCAGCAACAGTATGACTAAGATTTTGAGAAACAGAAGCAGACACTTTTCAAAGAGCTGGAAAGGCTTGCTGTATCTTACAAGAACTTTCTTTGTTTTGTACTCTAATTGACAACTTCTTATGATGGCCTTTGGAGTGACAAACCCACACTACAAATGCTACTTTTAGCCAGTATGCTGAGCTGTTGCCTTACTTCTTTCTACATGTTTACATAACTGATTCTTCAAGTTGATCCAGCGTGTCCTAAGTTTGCAGTGAAACACATGCAGGAACCATTATTTAACCAAGGAGTATATTTTGAATCTAGATCCCAAAACACGTTTATTTCTGAGATAGATCTTTTCTGTTATTTGATGACAAAGCCCGAAGGGAAGCCCAGAAACCCATCAGCTTTGCCAAAAGTGAAACTGTACCATGACTTTCATCTCCCTGCTGCTTCCCTCTGCATGAATCTCAAGCCTGCTTGCAGCACCCCATGCTCAACGGCACATGACCAGAGAAAGTAAGGCCATTCTGTTTTGATTTTGGTAGATAATCTTATGCCGTGGAAGCCGGATGAACAAAGTGAAGCGATCATGAGGAGAGGCAAACAACACAGAGCGGCGGATGGGAGGTAGTTTGGAAAAACAAGGGGGAATGTAGAAGAACCCACAAATGTGGGGCAAACCAGAGATGCTCCAGTGCTTTTCACACAGTATGTTTCTCTTTTCCTAGTTGATGTATTCTGCCCCTCTTTTGTGTATTTTCTTAAAATGCTCTATGGTTGGTATCAATGTACTGTATATGCACATTGTTCTCAAGAACCACAGTATAAATGCATCTGATTGAAGCTGAATTTTATACTCCAGCTAGCTATTTTCTTATTTATGTCATGTATAAATGTACTTATAAAAGAACCTACTGATTTATGTCTTTGTACAGTATACGCATTTACCCATGCAGAGTATTTTTGCAGTTATCTACTTGAGTAAAAGGAAATCCCCATCTTTCAGAGTTGGAGGAATGCTGAAATATTTATCAATAAAAACATCATGAGGTTAACAGGAGCTGTGTCTCCACTCATGTTTCTCCTTCTTATGTAACCTGGGAAACAAATGCATAAATAACCCCTTCCCTTTCAGGGAAATAAAGTGCAGCAAAGGGGTAAGAAAAGTCTTGATATCAGTCCAGATTAAGTTGTATGGATAAACTGCACATGTACATTCATGGTAACCTTTTTTACTACATGGTGGCAGCCTATTTCCCTGGCCTCAATTATTCTTTTCAGGGAAAATCAGACACAAATCAAGTTTGATCAGCAATGAGAGCTGTTGTTTTTTTAAATAAAAATATATTATGAGCCTGAATATAACAATAAACTCTTACATGCAATATTGGCAAATAGTTGATAAAAAATTAACCACATCATATTATTTTTTAAAAAAATTACAACTGTCTTAAATTGTTCGAATTTAACATTGTCTAACTTTGGATGGCATTTGCTGCCTGGAATGCCAAACTTTTTCTGAGGTACTTGGATTATAATCTGACTTTATGAAATGCACATGGCTTCTGTTAAAAATTACGAATCTTAACAATTATAGTTCTTTCCTGCCTTTCTGTTATAATTTGTACTATTGTCTTATACCCCGACATCTCCACTCCTGCTTTTCTGTGATTCACAAAGAGTACAAGGAAACATTGTGATATTGGATTCTAGCTGAGCTGGACTTAATCAAGGGGTATCAAATAGCCCTCCAAACATTTTACTCCTATATTTCAGTTATCTTTCTGTAGAAAGATATGAGATAAATTATTATATAAAATCCAAACCTAGAATGTTGTAATTTTTGTAGCATTTTCATCCACGTGACTTCTAGTTCTCCTGGGAGGACACAGATGGTTGCAAACTTGAAAGTTGTTTAACATTTTTCTAAAGATAGGTAAGAATAAACTGATTCACATCTGCAGGCTAAGTGTTGGGGGTTGCAGCAGGGAATCACATCTGCATCATGAGAATAATCTGCTATAGAGACATTATCTGATGCAATGTCCTGAAGAATATCCACAAGGGCCTTATTTATCAATGGCAAGACAGAACGATACTCAGCACTGTGAACGTCCATCGATTCTTGCTCTTGAATATCACGCTGCAAGTTAAAAATAAGAGGTGGCTGGTGATGTACTTCCTGACCAATGCTTCCATCGCATGCTTTGGCACCACCTAGAAAGAGACAAATCATCCAAGTTCTTTTAACTGCTATCTTTTGAGACAACTACTCACATTATGAGAAAGAATAATCTGAGTGTGCTACTGTAGGTTGACAGATAGCCCTTGACTTATGACAATTCAGCCCAAAATTTCCATTGCTAAGCAAGACAGTTGTTAAAGTGAATTTTGTCCTCTTTTACAACCTTTCTTGCCACCGTTGTTAAGTGAATCACTTTGTTATAGTAACATGGTCGACTCTAGTTTCCCCATTGACTTTGCTTGTCAGAAGGTCGCAAAAGGGGATCACGTGACCTGGGACACTGCAACCGTCATAAATATGAGTCCGTTGCCAAAAGTCTGAATTTTGATCACATGACCATAGAGATGCTGCAACAATCGTAAGTGTGAAAATGGTCTGAAGTCACTTTTTCTTGTGCCGTTATAACTTTGAACAGTCACTAAAAAACTACTGTAAGTCGAGGATTACCATACAGTCCAGCCAAAGGGTAAGCACTTAATCCAATGATTTCAGCAGAAGGAAAAGGAATGTACTATTGTAATAGAATTCCTCAATTCTAGACTCAACAGCTAAATATATTAATACAGTATTTGCAGGCAAATTGCAATTGGACTTCATCCATGCATCATTATGTTGGGATTTTTATCTTGTAAACTAGCAGCAGAACATGGAAGTATAGGAGGTATTTCTAGGAAATTGAACAAATGAACATGCCAATGATAACACATTTTTTAGCAAAACAGATTAGTGTTTCGGATTAATGGTAGAGGACATATATTTCTAAAGCAAGAGTGAAGTGAGAGAGTGAAGAAGGCAGAATTTTTCCAACTTTCCACTAAAGAAGAAAAGCTGCTATTTTCCTGTGTTTTAAACTATTTTTGAGTTAAATTGCCAACTGTATGTGTTCCTAAACTGGGGGGGCCTGGAGGGGTATGAATAAATTCTAAGAAAAGGCAGGAGATTTTTAGAAATAGGAAAAGCATAAAAATAACTTTCAAATGTACACAATGAATTGGAGCTATTTTCTAATTTCTACTATTTGGCATAGAAGCATCTGTGTTTAGTGGAAAGACTGGGATTTGTTTTAGAAAGTTGATTCTCAGTTTTTCTAACATGTTTGTTAATATTTGGGACTGATCAAGACTGATTTTATCTGATGACACATAATGGGATAGAAGATATAAAGCATAGCATACATATCTAATACTAACACTAAGCAGCAATACTAAGGTAAATTCACTTGCATTTCAGAAATGTATTAACAAAGTATATATACTATAAAGTATATACTATATGTAGCTATAATTAGGAAAAAGAAGCACACTGAAGGTCTATGGAGATTCTCAGCCTAGGTCATAGTTGTCCAAAGATGCTTTTTCAATAGGCAACTGGATGTTTTTCTTTGAAGACATTTTGCTCCTCATCCAAGAAGCTTCTTCAGCTCTGAAGAAGCTGAAGAAGCTTCTTGGATGAGAAGCGAAATGTCTTCAAAGGAAAAACCCGAAAGTCCAGTTGTCTCTTGAAAAAGCACTTTTGGGACAAGTACACTGAAGATTTTAGTACAAGTTGTCCTCGAGATACAACCATAATAGAGCCTGACCATTACAGCTGCATGTGGTGAAAATGTTAGGTGAAACATGTCATCTAATGACACTCTGCATCCCTGCTCTTCCCAATAAAATGTAAAACAAACATGCAGGTCATTAAATGGAGCTAAGAAGGGGAGGCCATCGGAGGCCTAGTATAGACCCAAGCCTGCCTTGTCAGCCCTCCCAAGTCTTTTCCCACACCCTGGGTCCCGCAAGGATTTTTCCTACACCCACTGGGTCTTCCCAGGCCTTAGGCTTCATGCTCACCCCACCTCAGAAGGCTACGAGGCCTTCCAGAGCACTGGAATGGCTTCCTTCTTTGTATAGCTACATGGCATGGTTCCGAAAGCAGCTGTCATTTTGTCCTTCCCACAAAATAGAAGCTGAGTTTTGGTCGCTGACACACAGCTGAGGAATAAACTGCTTCATTTTGCCTTAAGCTGCACAGAAGCCTCTGGAGACCCCTCTGAGGCAGCAGAATGAAGCAGCTAGTCTGGCAGCCATTTTGTCCCTGCCTGTTTGTGGGCAGGGAAAAAATATGGCGGCATTTGGGTCCCTGCCACACGGCCCTGGGACAAACTGCTTGATTTTGCTGCTTTAGTAAGGTATGTACAGCGCTGCAGCTCTAAGGGAGCACAATGAAGCTATTTCACTGGCATCTGCCATTTTGTCCCACCCACAAATGGCAGCTGTATTTGGATTGTTTCAGCACAGCCCAGGATCGCATGGACTGCCTCCTTCCACAACTTGAGGCCTGGAGAGTTTCAGAAGGTAAGTGTGGGGTGTGACAGGTGTTTGGGGAGCAGTCCAAAGTGCTGCAGGGTTCTCGTGTGATGGGAATGTGGGAGAGAAGTGGGGGAGTGCCACAGCAGCCCTGTTGTGGGTCATAAGGGTGAACGACAGCAGGCCTGCTGCAGCCATCACATCTTTGAAACTGAGACATACTGGTATGTAGATATGTAGTTGTAATTTTGAACTTTCGTCAATTGGCCTGTCATAACTTAAGAGTTAGCTGCAAGATGGCTTCACTATCAGACAAAAATATGATTGACTAGCCTCAAAGCATAGCACACAATAAAGCCATGGGACGTAAGCATCTTTCTTGAGCGATACAGCAAACCAAATCACAGTCCTTGCCAAAAGAATACAAGCCAAAGGGATTTCTTGATGCTGTAGCTCAAAATATGAAAAATGTACATTTGATTCCACTGGAGCTTTTCGTCAAAGTGTTTGCCAAAGAGATAGCCTCTCATGAACTGCCACTGATAAAGCCAAGGTACCAAATTTAGAAAAAAGTCTTAACTTGAAAGCATCCGATATTATTTGAGCTAGATGCTGAAAAGAGAAAAAAATTATCAAGTTTCTCCTGACAGATCTGTGAAATGTTACACCAATGCCTTGGTGGAGGAATTTAAATTTAAACCAATGGATGAAGTAAACCTTCTTTCTTCACAAAGCAGTAGGATGCTATAGCATTGATGTAAGGCAATGTTGATGCTGTTTGTATATATTTCATTGATTCACAGTGCAACTGGTTGTCAATATCTTTTTCAAAGATAACGAACCATATCAAAGGCTTCAACTGATAAAATAACTTCTGAAGTTTTTAATTTGCTTTTAAAGAAACTGAAAAGAAAAAAAACACCTCAGGGGCGTGCCCCGGCAACAGTCCAATAGTGCTTAACTGTTGTTCTGGATTTATCATATTGCTAAAAAATAAAGAAGTTTTAATCTCAATTCATTTCATATAAAGACAACTATTGGCTGCTCCAGGTGCTCCAGATTATCTGAGCTATTTGTTGAATTTGATTATCAAAATTGTTAGTTTTTGTGAAGATCGGTGCTTTAATTTAGTTATCTTTTGCAGTTTTTGCATGTATTTGGAAGCAAATAATTAAAAAAAAACTTGTTTCACATAATTCCTGGCTTTCAAATTATTTGAACTGAATGGTAAACATATTTTTTTTCTCAAGCAAACAAGCAAGTAGGGTTGTCTAATGTGTCCACAGACTAAACCTTTTACTGGCACATATGATTGACATTCTTGAATCTAAACAACTTCCATTTAAAGTTACATGGAAAACTCTATAAATGTAAAATCAAATGCAAAATCACAAAAAGTAGTTATGGTGGGGAGAATAATCCAGTTTGGAAATACTGAATGCAAACTGAGATGACCAACTTTCTATAAAGATGTAAAGGACAAAGTTGTGATTCCCCTGAACTGCCTTGCAGAAGAATAGCAGAATTCATCTCCTATTTCCCAGACAACTTTTCTAGCAATCCTAGTCATAAATTATAATCCATTCTCTGCCAGATGTTTTGCAAAAACAAGCACTCATTATAAAACGTGATTCAAATACAAAAACATTTCAGAAATTCAAGCCTGGAGGAATTTTGAATAATTAACTTGAGGAATTGAAAAAAACGGAATTGATCTTTCTGCTTTTTATGTACATTTGTGAAAAAGAAGGTTTTAAACTTGCAGTACAAACAAAACAAAGGAATAACTGGATTTCAAAATTGATCTGTACTATATATTGCGGTTTTTCAAACTTTTTCAATTCATAAAGAAAATGCAGCATTATCTTTCAGATTAAATTTGATGTACTTCTCTCCTGTCAATTCACATTTTCATTAATGTTTATGTACACACATATTTTTTTAAAAAAAATCTAACAAGTTTTTGTACTTATTTTTAATTACAATTCAATGATATATTAAAAGGGTTTAAATCCTAGGTGGAGAAGTAAAAAAATTACAAAAGGGGATTTGATCCTGAAAAGTTGTGGAAATGCTGTTCTATTGTATAAAGGACATGGATAAATTATTAATGAATACACATACCAATTATTATGGGTCGTACAGGCAACAACATTTACTTCATTAACTGCAGAGGAAATGGTAATATATTACTTGAGATTTCAGAAGAGCTCACTAAAATACAAATATTTCTACATTCTAGTTTTCTACATTTCTAGTCCTCATTCAACAGACTTACACAACTGAATCCAGAATTTTGGTTATAAGTCATCGCAGCATTAAGCAGGTCACCATATGACCTGATCTGATTTCATGACTGTTTTAATGATGGTTGTAAAGCAAGTCATCATGGTCGTTAATTGAGTCACATGATGGTTGAATGAACCATGTGGTTAAGTGAATGCCTTCTCCTGAATGGGCAGTTTTTGCTGGGAATTAGAAAAAAAAAGTTGCAAATCAGTCACAGGACACTTCAACCAGTTCTAATTTGAGCCAGTTAAGTGCTTGAAAAGTAACTGTGGGGGTGGTGAAATAGCAGTAGTAACTTCAAGTTGTAAGTAACTTTTTGGGGGAGGTTACACTATTGTAAGCTTGATTACTTATGGAACTGTACAGGAATGGAAAAAAGGGTTTTTCTATATGTTAAACTGTCTAGACTGCTCCTCAAAAAATCCCGCAAAATTTAACATCATTTCAGAACATATCTTGATGGAGTCAGAAAAGCTGTTTTCCTTCCCCGCAACCAAAGATGATTGAATGCCTAACACCCCGTTTCAACAAATTGTCCAGTGCAGACTTAACTGGTTCTGCATTATCAGTCTAACTGCCTTGGATATAAATAAGGAACCAGCAGTTCAATGATTTTGTGCCATATGTTTGGACTCCACCTTCATCTTACTGGATTGATGGAGAGATCAAAAAAGCATATCGTATGGTATGCCATTTCTCAACCTAATCCTATTAATAAGCAGTGCTTTCCATGAGAACTTCGAGTATTGGCTGGGATGCTCATCACTGAAGTTGTAGAGTAAGGCCAAGATCAAGTTGGAGCTTTTTACACTGAAGTTGTAGAGTAAGGCCAAGATCAAGTTGGAGCTCTTTACAGTTTTCAAAGCATGTTGAACTTTACCATGGTACTTATTGGGTGTATAGTCCAGACATTGTTGAAGCTATAAGACAAGAAGCCGCTGGGATCTAGTTCGTTTCTTCCAGGTCCCAAGACATTTTTATGGAGTGCATGAGATAGCATGAGATAATTTAGCGATGGTTTTCTATTTGAACAGTTGGAATGTCACCAAGCCACTTTGGCTACTTTGGCTCAAGATCAAAAAGTGAAATGTGTGTGTCCTGTATTTCAATCTATTAGTCACAGAAGTGGCAGTTCAAGAGAGCATAAGTCATAGAGACTTTGCCTACTCTACCTAGATAAGCCATCGGTAGAATAGCTTTCCTCAGTGCCCACATTCCTTTTTCAGCATGTGCAGATATCGATGATGGATTTCTTGGCCAACTGTTCTAACAGCCAGCATAAGACTTCTATAGAAAAATAGGCCTAAGATCCCATGGAGATACTGTGTAGCTTCACTAACCTTCAAGTATCCAATACCATTTTTCCACTCCTGTTAGACATGTGCTATTATCATGATGAAATCTTCCATGATTATTTGTACAAGGTAGAGTGCATATTTTCCCACAACATTTTGCCATATAGATGACTGCATATGTGAGGATTTAAGCTCAAAGCCATATCCCATCAGCATTCAAAGTCATTCTATGCAATTCCATTGTTGGAAATCTGCTCTCAGATTTGTGCTCTTAAACCTTGGATACAGCATGCAAAGATCGTCTTCTGAACTCTTTTTATTTGTAGTATTACAAGACAGGAAACACTGGTTTGTCTTTCAGATCTAATCACACAAATGTATTTTATCTGAAATAAAAACCGATCTCTCCCCCTCCTCCAAACTTCTTTTCCTTATAAAAATGTGGTCTGCAATAAATATATATATATAGCTTTAACACCTATTATTTAGTGATTAACTATTTCACTACCTGCAAGATGCTTCTTTTGAGCTTCATGTGCCTAAAATCTGTGAAATATGTAAATCAAGGGTTTCTGGAATAGAACCACCATATAACTTAAGGACTGTCTGTATTCATTCCTCAAAGCTGTGGAAGGCAAAAACAAGAGTATACCCACAATAATTAAATCTGACTGATCGGCTGGTTTTGATCACTGGCATAATCCAATAGCACATTATTTAAGCCCTATTACAAGGTTTATTACTTTGCTTTATCTGGTAGTCATAAATGCACCCAGATTGTAACCTGGTGATGGAATGGAGAAAGAAGAGATAAAAATTAATACTAGATTGCTGAAAAGAGTTCTTTCTATCACAACTGAAAAGTGCCAAGCATTAAGAATAGGACACAGACATCTTTTTTCCCATACTAAAATTGATTTTATGGGGAAACCCAAAATTAAAAATAGATGAAAAGATGGTAATATGGAAAAATTGGATGGAAGTGGAGGTACTGACTTTGAACCAATTGATAGATGATGCTTTTAAAAAAATATACTATGTGTTAAGAAATAAATATCATCTATCAGATATCACGCAGTGACAATATACAAGATATTTTTTAATAACATTGCTTGGACAAGCAGCATTTTCAGCTTCTAAGATACCCGAGATAGTAGAATAACTTGTTAAATTTTTTAAAATTAAAAAAAAAACCTTACCATTAGTTTTTATAGCTATTTGTTATCAATAATTTAATTTGATAATGCAGATTTAAGAAAACAATGCAACAAAGAATTAGAGGCTCCTATATTGCCTAGACAAGGGGCGTATGTCTTAACTTCTTTAGCAAAAATGTCAATCGACCTCAAATTACAATTTATGCAACAACAAAAATAATATTTAGAACTTATTGGACTCCATTACATTTACACAGAAAAGAGTTATCAAAACCAGCATTTTACTGGAGATGTAAAGGATAATGTTTCTTTAAAACATGTTTCTACAATGTCCTACACTTACTAAGTTTTAGAAGAAGGTAGTAGATTATATAAATGTGATTGTGCAACAAAAGCAATAATTTTCAAAAGATAATATTATTTTGAATTATGCATCTATATCTACTACATGGAATCTCACAACTGGACAGTGTAAATGGATTCTCTGTCTTTATTATGGCCAAAAGACTGATATTGCAGGATTGGAAAAATAATTAAATGACCCCTTTCATTCAATGGACTGAAGACCTGACTGCACCTGCCATTTATAAGAGGATTGCCTATAGAGGTAAATTTGTATGGACAAGTGTAATAAAATATAGAACACTTTTATACAGAATGCAGTAGGTTAAAATGATAGTCATATAAATGTATTAGAAATATACATATTTGAACATCATTTGTATTAGAAAGTATGTAAACTTGTAACTATTGTTACAATGACATATCATTAGTTATATTTCTTTCACTTTTTTGTTAAACTGTTTTTTATATATTTGTCTTTTCTTTGACAGTGTATGCATTTCCTTCATTATCTTTGAATGTTGTTCTTTTTTTCTGTTGAGAAAAAGTAGGTAGGACATAGAGAAAGAAACACATTAGGACTCTTCACTATAGACTTCTGGAGGAGTCACTGGGAAAACACTGTGGGAGGAAGGGTAATGCCATTGTATGCAATGATATCTATGCCATCTGGCAGAGAACAAGGCGAGAACTTGGTAATTATAGTAATTAACCCCTGCAAGTGTCTATAGGCTTCTACAGGATTTATATCTCTATTCCAAAATAAGAGACATACGGAAGTCCATCAAATAGTCCTGCTATTCTGCTTTTTAAATGCTGTTTTAAAAAGGAGCAGATATCCCTAGGGAAATATCATGTCATTCTTTTGCTTTGTCTTTTCACATGCTTTTTCTTTCCTCCAAAGACACGGGATATGTGACTGCCTGGGAGGTGGGGGGAGTTGATCCTTTCATGGCTAGAAGGTATGAGCCAGCCAATAGTGATCTTCATAGGTTAGCTCTCCAACTGTGTGAAGGTAAGATTCAGTGAGCATGGTGGAATATAACTTGAAATCCTCTAAAATGTCAGTAAAAGTCTGAGAATAAAAGAAACACAAGCCCAGAGGGAACTGTATATTTTATCTCCCTTAAAAGTACAATACCTAGGGAAGCTGGATCTCAGAATTGAACTTCCAGACCAACCATACACCTCAAGAACCACGAGCCTATAATAACACCCAGGATGCCAATCAACACTCCTTCTCTCAGAGGCTGAATTCTTGAACACCCATCAGGCAGCAGTTCTCATAACAAGGTTTCACTACATATCTTCTCAAATATTTTCTCCATTCCAGCTTTGCCCATGGAATCCTATAATTCCCAATGCTCCTCTATTGAAATCCAGAAATAAAATACTCAACAAAACCAGACTTTTTACCTGAACTTCGGCATAGTGGTATGAACCATGGCAGAGATTTTATTCCCTAACCAGAATAAATTCAGATGCCATATAACAGGACTTTATAAAACCATCATTTTTTATTGATGCTTCTCTCTTCATAAATAACATACCTGTAAGATAAAAGGCTTTATATTGGTCCAACCGAAGGGACTGTATTTCTCCGTATTTTCCAGCTGCACCACTATTGGGATGGAATAATGTCTAGAGGAAAAAGAAATTGGCAAGATTAGAAAGTGCTCTCTTTTGCTTAATATCATAGAAAGTTACACATATTCCAATAGAAGAGAATACCTGTCGCTCAGGTAGCTCCACAATTGAACTGTGGAGACCTTGGTGCTTTCTAAGCTTGAATGGTTTTCTTGCAGACGTTTCATTACCCAACTAGGTAACCTCATCAATATGAGTGAATGATGACGACACTCAAACTAATGTTACCTAGTTGAGTAATGAAATGTCTGCAAGCAAACAACAGGAGTATCAAGAACTGCACATACACAAATTCAAATAGTAATATGCATCTAATTATGTTGCTCCCATTAATACTTACCGGTAGAAGAATCCAAACTGTTAATTGCTTAACTTCCATTCCCATAGACATTTTAAATCTAGCTTGGCTCAACTCTGCAAACTCCTCAGAATCAGGAAAATTTCAAAAAAGAAATGACACTCTATATAGCATGTATATTATGTATTGTTTTTAAAATTCAGACACCATGTTGGGTACGGATCCTGTTCAGAGTTGACCAATGCTGGCAAGGAAGGTCAATACCTGGCACCTTTTGTGTAGAGTCATCTACGTAACTGCCTGTATCTGGACGTTCAGCAGCCCATTTGGCTTTCCACTGCATGTTGATGTCAAAGTTGTTAGACAGCTGTTGAGTGAGTGCCAGAGAGGGCTTCCTGGATTTAAACCTGCCAATTGCTGCCAAAGTAATTGTTATTATCACCAACTGCTATATAACTGTACCTAATAGAACTCAAATCAAAGGTAGAACCGGTTCAGCAGAAACCTACATACATTTACTTGGGAATAGCCTCCTACTGTTCCTGCCTTTGCAATGTTATGTAATTAGAGAAAGAAAATTTAAATGGCACACCGAGAATCTCAGCCACAGAGTGCCTGCACACATGCACACTCATTGTGCATAAAGTCAAACTACTAGTCCTCACAACATGTTATATAAAAGGATTGGCAATTGGTTTCAGAAAGAAGTTGTTTCCTCCCTGTACAGGCCTGGGGCTAAACCAGAGATTTTCTTTATGCAAGGCAAATGCTCTATCACTGAGCTGTCATAGTGTTTCTAAGAGGTAATGGATAGATTTTGCTTAAGAATTAAGTTGTTTACAGATCAACTGCCATGTTCAACAAGAATGAGAGCACACGTAGGAGCAATTTTTCTGAAGCTGACCAATTTTGCAAAAAAGTATGCTGTTTTAATGGCTTTATGTAACAATTTGATTATATTTCATAAAATACATGTGTGATTGATAGTAAAATTTAAGCTTATGAAAGACAATTGAGGATTTAATTGACTGTTTTACAGCTAGCAGGTCAAGCTTGACACTGCATTCCATTCTCTTTTATGAGATGGAATAACAGGTATTTCCCTAACAAGAATTGAGCTTTTCAACTCCATACATATCACATAGGGAAGCTTGGAGCATTTAAGACCAATTCAAAAATTATAAGGAAAGAGCAAGAGACAGTGTCTTCTAAAATTTACATTGTTTGTGGCAATGACAATCATTTGAGATGTGAGGAATTTTAGGGAAGTCAAGAGTTTCTAACCCTCAAGCTACTCCGTGTTCAGAAAGTTAATGCCATACCTGGTGTCCTTTGCTTGAATACCCGAACAGGACTTCAGAGATATCTATCCCATCAAAGCGTCTGTTGGGAGGAAGAGTAGCATTCGCCAGAGATACCAATGTAGGAAATATATCTAAAGTGCTGCAGAAGAGAATATCCTGTGATTAGAATATAAGCTGATCTTGGCAACTGAATTATGAAAAAAGTCTTACAGACCTATTTCTAAGGCTACCTCATCTGATGCCAAAATACCGACAATACAAAATACAAAATTTTGGTGGCTGCTTATTAAAGATCTAGATTCACCTTTTCTTTTTAGATGTGTGTGTGTGTGTGTGTGTGTTTGAGTCCATGTACATATAATAAACCCATTCTATAAAATAAAGCATTAATATTCTCCTCGTAATGCAAACTATTAAATTAGGATAAAATTTGCAGGTTCTGATTTGGCATAGTATTTGTTGTATGGGCTGAACTGGAAAAGTTTGAGAAGAGAAAATTCTACTGAATTATGATGGACAGCAGAGATTTTACAAACAACCATAAAAGTATTGAAAAGCCTTGCACAGGATACTGAAATCCTAGTTTCAAATTACTTGAGCTTCTCTGTAGATCTCCTCTTGGGTTTGCCAAATATCCCTCACACAAGACTATTCTCTGTGATCTAAGAGGTTGGATTTTAAAGTTATAGGTTGTTGCCAAATATGTCAGATCCTATTTGTTCATATGCATATACTGTCCAACTTCAAATTAAGTACTGTAATTACATCCATGTCCAGTTCACCCTGGATAGATGGACAATCCAGAATCTTTTTCTATAGAAAAATTTTCATGTGAAAAATTAGTCATATAGAGTCCACAAAGCCCTTGTTGGTCATATGGGGTTAATAAGACGTGAAATTTATATAATGATAAAATACCCTAAATTGAAAGCCTGTGGTGTTCCCAAAACTAACCAAGTACATCAGAATGACTCAAGCAGCTTGCCCAAAAACCTCTCCCTAAAGAGGAAAATATTAGTTATCTGATTTGTTTTTTAATGTACCATTCCATGGTCTAGAAAAACACGATTTCATTTATGTGCGCTATAGTGCTTTTCAGAGCAATAAGAATAGACAATTACAACATTTATTTCTTTCAAACCATATGAAGAAAACATAGTATTGTACTGCTACTTATTTGATTGCAAACTGCCATAATCCAGAAACTGGAACCGACACAAGGTTCAAGAACTGGCATCTGACCCACCAGTAGAGGAAAGAAATAAATGAAGGTGGGAAAAGCCTGATATGTCTTAGTTCCCAACTATCTGAACCGATTCATTTGATTTCATACCACTAACGTACAAGAATGCTAACTACTGGGTGATTTCAAACATAGCCTCACTATTACAACAGGAGAATGTTTCCTTTGCCTTAGCACAACCTTTGTCAAGTATCATGAGTACTTACTATCACCTTGTAAGTTGTAGCATGAAGTCTTAACATTAATATCCACAAAGTAGCCATGCTGACTATAATTAACAAAAGAATGGGAGGACCAGAATGGGAGGTGATACCAGGGAACATCTAGTCCAAACAGCAGAATCAGGATAACAGTGTGTCCTATGAAGTGATTTCAGCAGACTTCTAGTGTTCATGGTTAGTGCAAGAACCATTTTAAATGTTTCTGAAAGGTGACTCTCTGGCTCCTTCTTGAAAAACTCCAGTAATGGGGAATATTCCACTTCACAGAGCAATCCTGGCCGACAGCCCTTTCCATCAAGAAATTATTTCTAATATGTGAAAAGCTCTTCATCTGCTACACAAATGAGTACTGATCATTCAAATGTCTGGACCACAATTATATAGGCCAAATTGAGTCTGCACAAGTGGCCAATCCCCCAATTATCCTCTCCCAGCAGACTCTTTAATCACTACAAATCTTTTTGAGTCTCGACTTGAGACTGAAGAAGGGAGGAAGTGGCAGAAAATTTCTCTTGCAAGGCTTCGTTCTTTTATACTATTAGTACATTGGATACAATCCATACTTTTATTACCATGTTTATTTATTTATAAAAAACATGTGTTTGGATGAGTATTTTTTAAAAAGTGTGATTATATTGGAAAAATAGACATCAAAATTAGATCTGATGAACACATTAGCACCAATGAAGATTTTTCTGACCTGAAACATATCAGCCCACTTAAGAGACTTATGAAATATTAGCTGAGGGTGCTGAAAGAAACTTGGTTTTTTTCCCCATTCAATCAATTTTACCATGACTGCTAGGAAACAAATAGGCAAAACAATAAACAGCATTGGGGGAAAATAGGAAAAAAACAGTACATCTGTGAAAAAAATGTTCTTGTAAGATCATTAAGCTGATTGCTAAACAAATACAACTCCAAGCAAAGAATACACTAGGGGCATGCAGTGTGTTGCAAAATTAGAGAGAAAGAGAGAGGGGGGGAGGGAGGGAGAGGGAGACAGAGAGAGAAAGAGAGGGGGGGAGGGAGGGAGAGGGAGAGGGAGAGAGAGAGAGAGTACATGTGTTCATACCGGCATGCTTTACAGGACTGAATTTAAACTCTGTTAAGATTTATGCCTAGATTTTTAATAAGATTCCTGGATATAAATTGTACGGATCCATTTAGGAGTATGGAGAAAATTATTTCTGGTAAAAAGCATAGAATCCTCAGAGACGCTAGAATATAGCAAAGGGTAGTTACCTGGGGAAGAGGCAGTGCCATTGAGGGCTGTTTGCTTCTGAGAATTATTTGTTTGCCTCCTCTTGATGAATCATCCAGGATTTAGAAAAAAAACCCTATATTGTTCCAAATGGAATCCAAGAACTGGAAATAGGTTTGGCTTGTCTGTTCTATTCCTACTTGGCTGCTTGGTGATTAAATGACAGTTTCAATACACTTTATAGTTAATGTTCTGTTTGCACATGTTTGAATTAGAAATGTTGTTGTAGCTGTTTTGATTCTATAGATAAGTTGCAAACATTTTAACCAAACCAATAAAATAATGTATAAGATATGAAAATAATTGTTTTATATATCTTTTGAGATACCTATTTCTAGATGGGAGGGAACATTTCTTTAATTTGAGGTAGATCAAGCTGAATTGCATAATAGGGCATTAAAAGGACTCTCTTATGATCTGATCAAGTTTTATTTTTGAGAAATCTGGGAGGAAAAGTGAAGTGCCAAATGACGGAAGAAGACAATAGGACCCTACTTCAAGAAAGCAAAAAAGGAAGAACTACAGATCAGGCAAAGTGATATTAATAACTGGGTAGTTTTTGAGCAAGTCAAGAAGTTCATAAAGATCCAGAAAACAATGTGGCAATTATATGAACAAACTGTATCAAACTAACCTTCACTCATTTTTTCAAAGGGGAAATTTTCTGAGATCATGGCTGTTGATTTCAACAAGGCATTTGACAGAGTATCTCCTTAACCACATTTTGATTAGCAAGATTGGAAGTACATAAAAACTGAAAATAATAATGAAAGAACAATCCTAAGTGATTTCTTATCTAAAATAAATGAAAAGGGTTTGTTTGTTTGTTTTTCAAAAAAGGTTGAATGAGTCCAGAAATGTGGCATACAGTAATAAAAATAAATAAAACAGCATAATTTGGAATGTTAAGCTTGTAGACTTGGAATCTTAGCAAGATGAGATGAATGGCTACAGGGGGTTGATATTTACAGCATGACGCCTCACCACACTTGTGATCCATACTGCATATTTGAGCAAAGTGACCATTGAAAACCATACTGTAATTCTATGATCAAAAACAAATCACAGCATCAGTCCCCTTTTCAGATATAAATGTCTGATGAAAACAGCCAGGCTCACTATGTCAAATAATCTCATTAGAGTGTGTGTGTGTGGGGGGGGGGGTGACGGGGGGTGACGACAACACAACTCTTCTGCCATTCTGCAGTCTACCTGTATTCTTCACTGAAGTAGGAGTTAAATATTATGCAAACTGAGGTAGAATAAGAGCCTGCCTCCAATTCAAAATGAAGATTGTGGGATGGGAAAATGGAGGGTTATCTGCTTAATGTTAAGTCAAAGGAGGAACAAGGCATGAGAAATTCAGCAAAAAATATAATGGATGTGACAGAATTTTGTTTAGCTTGCTGAAAATTATGATGAAGATGGTAGACCAAAAGAGTGCAATAGGCAGCTCACAGAACCAGACTGTAAAGGAACTTAACTTAGAACACATATACCACCATTGTACTACTGGCAGTCCTTGAGCAGAATTTCAGTTGTTAAAGCAAGACAGTTGTTAAGTTTTGCCCCATTTTATGACTTTTCTTGCCATAGTTGTTAAATGAATCGCTGCAGTTGTTAAGCTAGTAATATGGTGGTTAAGTGAGTCTGGCTTCCCTACTGACTGCTTGTCAAAAGATCACAAAAGGTTGAAGGCATGATCCTGGGATACACATAAATATGAGCCAGTTGCCAAGAGTGTGAATTTTGATCATGTGGATGCTGCAACAGTACTGTAAGTGTGAAAAATGGTCATAACTCACTTTTTTCAGTGCCATTGTGATTTTGAACAGTTACTAAATGAAAGGTGGTAAATCTAAGAACTACCTATATTTAATTCTCACTTTCTTCACTTTTTCCGGAGTATGAGAAGGGAACTAATAAAACACAAAATATGAAATTCCCTGTATATTACCCATTATGTGTGCTTGTTGGGGAACATGTTCACCTCCTCCCCACACATGTTCCCCAAAAAGCACACATAATGGGTGATTTCCCCATTAAGGCAGTGATCAAATCAGGCTTGTTTAGCTTGAGCAAAATGGTCGTATCATGCGATTTACCTGTGGTGCCCTAGTCACTCAAGAGTTCTCGCGCGAGAGAAAGAGAGAGCAGAAAATGCACTTAGATCTCACAGGGTTTCTATTCACTTTCTGTCCCTGGTTACTATTGGGATTTGGAAAGTATCAGGGCAACAAGATCATAGAAATGCAGGGAAAGTAATCAGCATGAAACAAAGGATGAACTCAAGGAGAAACATTGGAAGGGGAACACAGAATATAACCCGTATTGGAGTGCCTACTTAGCACTTGGGAGTTAATTATTAAATATCATTAATAACAGGGTGTTCTTGTTTATGAACAAGAAGGTCCATCAGCAGAATTTTGTCATGATTTCTGGCCTGAAAATGAACACTTCCTGAATCCTTTGGTGTAACTTAATTCTGAAGAGCATGTTAGATCAGTGGTCCCCAACCTTTTTTGTACCAGGGACCAGTTTCAAGCACAAACACTTTTTCAAGGACCGGGGGGGGGGGGGGGGGGAGAACCCGGGTTTGGTGGTTTGCTTGCAGACGTTTCATTACCTGACTAGGTAACATCTGATGTTGTTACCTAGTCGGGTAATAAAACGTCTGCCAGCAAACCACCAAGTTCAGGGAGCGCCTCGGCCCTGCCTCCCTCAGCCCCATCCCTCAGGTGTCTGCCTCGTTCCTCTCTCAGTCGCTTTCTCGCTGCTCCACCAGCCCAGGAAGAAACTGCTTCAAAGAAGCCGGGGGGTGGCTGGCTTTTCCTGTCGCCGCAGCACCTCCGAAGCGCCCGTTTACCCCCACCCCGCCCGCGCGCGCGCGGTTCAATCCACAGTGCTCCGTTCTGCCTGCCTGCCTGCCTTCTTCGTTTCGGAGCAGCTTCGGCTGATAAAAAGAGGCGAATAGTTATTATTCTCACCGGAAACGAAGAAGGCAGGCAGGCAGGCAGAACGGAGCACTGGGTTGAACCGCGCGTGGGCAGGCGGGGTGAGGGTGAACGGGCGCTTCGGAGGTGCTGCGGCGACAGGAAAAGCCACCCCCCCCCGGCTTCTTTGAAGCAGTTTCTTCCTGGGCTGGTGGAGGAGCGAGAGAGCGACTGAGAGAGGAACGAGGCGGGAGGAAACCGAAGCCGCTGAGCCGGAGAGCAGGACAGGCTTTGGTTGCTTCCTCCCTCCCCTTCTCTCATTTGTGTCCTTGATCCCCGATCCCAGCAGCATTCACCGAAGGCGAAGAAAGCCGCCATTTTTTTAAAAAAAAATTTCTTTGCGGCCCGGTACAGAGTGCTCCACGGACTGGTACCGGTCCACGGCCCGGTGGTTGAGGACCCCTGTGTTAGATGACTTCCTGTGGGTATATACTTCATTTAACAATTGTTTTTCTGTATTTTGAGTAATTTGAACATTTTCCATGAGACTGGCTCACTCCCTAGAAATGGCAGCTAACTTGCTGAAATACTGCCAGTTTTCTTCATGAAACTATTAGCATCATATGCATAACAGCTGTCTTGATTTTCTAAACATCAAGAAATAGCATAATCAACACAGATACACAAGTATTTTCATCCTTGTACAGAAAATAATTCTATCAGACACTATTTTTCCCAGAAAGACAATATCTTTCTAGGATATTTCTAGGATTTTCTTTTAGGGAGCTAAATCCAACCAAATATATGCAACTATATATTTTGCCTTTAGGCTAGTTCTGTAACTGCAGCCCCAAAGACAGCTAGTCCTTGACTACAATGCAGGCTTGCAGGAGGTGAGTTAGAACGCCTCTGCGCCTGTGCGAAGTGCGCATTTGGTGTGCGCATGCACGCAAAGTGTGTGCACATGCGCAAAGCGCGCCCACCAAGCCACACCCACCGAACTGGTGGCAACAATATTTGAATCACACCACTGATTTCATGCAGCATCAAAGCAAGCAGATAGAAAGCAACATGGATATGTGTACCCAGGTCTCATATGCATCTGATCTGATGATAGTACTTAAATACATCTGGAAATAATATTACCATGAACTTCTGTGAGTGATCTGTTTAACAGCCATGAACTGCTGATGTACTGTACTGTACAAATACTTTAAATAAATAACTAAATGCACAAATTGTTGTAGGATTTACTACATCAATTAGAACTGCTGTGACACTTTCATGGGTGAGAATTACTTTTATAATGCCAGTAATTAAAAGAATAACACCCGTGGAACTCATTTGAAGTTGCAAATAAAGCCGAATTATTAGTGGCATAATACATTATTTAAATTAAATACAAATTTAAAGCTGTGAAAGGCAAATGCCCTGCCCAAAGAGGGCACTGGGTTGTTAGGAATAGTGCAAAAAATAGGCACTTAGCTACATTTAATACAGGTTGAGGTCTACCCAGACAATGCCAAAATATTGTGAAGTTCAAAGAAGATGAAATCTCATTCCCTAATGTTCTTGACTGTGCCACTACGGCAGGACCACCCCACAGATATTTATCTGAAATCTACCCAACGTTTTCGGCATATGGCAATACAACCAGTCCTCATTTAGCAACTGTTTATATTTACAACAGTGATGAAAAATGTAACTTCGCAACCAATCTTCACATTTACAATCTCTGTAAGTCTGTAAACCAACAAAAAGTTGAAGAGTCAAAGCACAGTAACAGTTTGACTTAACAACCAACTGTTTGCTTGAAGACTATGTTGTCTATCCCAATAGTGGTACCTAAACAAGAACTACCTATAGTAGCAAACACCTGGTATAAAGACATGTATTCTAACCCTTTGGATGATGCGGCAATTGCCCGCACTCCGGTAGTCCGAGTCCAGTTCCGTGGAATGGGGTGAGCTCCCTTCTCTTGTCCTTAGGTCCTGCCCACCTAGCAGTTTGAAAGCATTGTTTGCAAGTAGAGACTGTAAATAGGTACCACCATTTTGGGGGGTGGGAAGTGCTGCCAGAACTGGAAGGGATCAGTGGAGGAGTGGTTAATCTTAGTAAAGAGTCGAATTTTCTTTCATGCTCTTACTCATTATATTGCACTGCTTTACTCACCTTGGAAGACTTACTACTAATTTTAAATATGCTTTCCAAATCTGGCTTAGTTATGCTTTATGTTGTTGAAACCAATAATATAAACTACAACAAATATGGTTTAATTAAATTTAATTAAATAAGGTTTAATTAAATCCAAGCTCCTTTCCTGTCATGTGGGACCAAAAATGAAAGTAACCAAACTAAATGAGACCAGGCATATTCCACCTCGCTAAAGTATCATTTATAAAGTGCTGCTAACTGTCTTTGCAATCATAGCATCAAGATGGATCCAAATTAATATTTTTATCTTGCTCATTAGGAAGTGTGCAATATTCATATTGGTAATGGTAGAAGTGTATGAATGGGCAACTTTTATCCCATCTGCAGTTAACACTCCTGACAAAGACAACATGAAGATTAATTTACAGAAATATCGTTTGGGAATTATAATATACAGGAGCAATAACCTTGACTCCTTCTGAGAGAAAACCAGTTATTCCAGACCAACAATGCCAAAGGAATTATAACAGATGTTTATTATAATCCTAAGAAGAAACATATTTTGAAAACAGTTTATGAGCAAACATCTCAAAAGTAAACTTTGTTCCCTTTCAAACTCAGCTTTATTTAGGAGAACAAACATCTCTGATAAACAATGAAGGATCAGCAATTGACCTGCTTGGCTGTTCAACAGACCTATTCTAGAGCCTTATTTGCAAATGCTGTCTACTGGCTTGAAGGAGGGGTTAAGGAAACCAATAGATTGCAAAATGCTGTGGAACTTTACAGAGGTCATTACCAGTTAGCCCCTTTTATTTTATTATTTTTTTATCATTTCAGAGATGACAAATTCTTCCATGTTCAGGAATGTGTGTTCTCAGCTGTTCTAGCAGCTCAGCTTGCTATGGTTTGGGAGTTAGTTGTCTACACGCTATTCTAACAGATAACAGATAATCAGAGTTGGAAGGCACCTTGTAGGTCATCTAGTCCAACCCCCTGCCCAAGCGGGGGACCCTACACAATTTCTGGCAAATGGCAGTCCAATCTCTTCTTGAAAGTCTCAAGTGATGGCGCTCCCACAATATCTGAGGGCAAGCTGTTCCATTGGTTGACTGTTCTCACTGTTAGAAAGTTTCTCCTTGTTCCCAGGTTAAATCTCTCCTTGTTCAGTTTCCATCCATTATTCCTTGTCTGGCCTACAGGAGCTTTAGAAAATAGCTTGACCCCTTCCTCCCTGTGGCAGCCCCTCAAATATTGGAAGACTGCTATCATGTCTCCCCTGGTCCTTCTCTTTACTAGACTAGCCAAGCCCAGTTCCTGCAACCGTTCGTTGTACGTTTTAGCCTCCAGTCCCCTAATCATCCTAGTTGCTCTTCTTTGTACTTTTTCTAGAGTCTCAACATCTTTTTTATAATGTCACCAAAACTGGATGCAGTACTCTAGGTGTGGTCTTACTAAGGCTTTATAGAGTGGTATTAGTACTTCCCTTGATCTTGATTGTATCCCTCTGTTAATACAATTTAGGATTGCATTAGCTTTTTTGGCTGCTGCTGCACACTGCTGGCTCATATTTAGCTGGTTGTCCACTAAGACTCCAAGATCCCTCTCACAGCTACTGCTATTGAGCCTGCTTTCACCCAGTCTGTATGTGTACTTTTGGTTTTTCTTGCCTAAGTGTAGGACTTTACTTTTCTCTACATTGAATTTCATTTTATTAGATACGGCCCAGTGTTCTAGATGGACCATAAAGGAATCTTACATGAACAATCCATAACAGAAAGCATTTTCCTCTCCTACCTTAACATCAAAGGGCTCGTCACATTTGCTGGGATTTTCCCTGGCCAATATGCAACTGTGGGAACACGGTGTCCTCCTTCCCAGGTTGTCTGCTTTGCTGAGCTACCACCTGTGAAATTTTAAAAAGGAAAAAAAATCCTCACATTTAAGATGCTTGTTGGCTAATACTTTTATATTCAATCAATCAAAAAAGAATTATGAAGTAAAAGAAAGCGTAAAAGAAAGTAATCTTTTTCAGCCAAGAAGATAAAATGTCGTAGGAAGGAAAAAGCAAGGGATCTATTAAGACATGTAATTATACATTTAAAAAAAAGGAAAATAGTTGCACATACAGAATAAATATTAGTGTAATGTCTCAATATTGCCTCATTTTCTTCTGAAGAGCCAAGACTCCAAGGTCTACTCAGTGTCTGAGATATTTTTGGATTTCCTCGCCAGCTCCAGGTTGACTCAGTCTTCCATCCTTCCGAGGTGAGTAAAATGAGGACCCAGATTGTTGGGGGCAATATGGTGACTCTGTAAACCAGTGATCCCCAACCTTTTTTACGCCGCGGCCCGGTACCGGCATCAGCTGGGCGCCGCGGCCTGGTACCGGCATCAGCTGGGCGCCGCCATCTTTTTTTGATGAAAACGTGCTTCCAGTGAGCTTTCTACCCGGAAAAGCTCACCGGAAGCACTTTTTCATCAAAAAAAGATGGCGGCGCCCAGCAAGCCAGCGGCCCGGTAGGACTTGTTCCGCGGACCGGTACCGGTCCGTGGACCGGTGGTTGGGGACCCCTGCTGTAAACCACTTAGAGAGGGCTGTAAAGCACTGTGAAGTGGTATATAAGTCTAAGTGTTATTGCTATGTGGCAGCTTCTGAAAACTAGAAATAATTTCAAAAAGACAGCATGACATAGTATGTATCAAGCTACCTTCGGATGCAAGTTTTACACTTGGCTAAGTCAATTTCTGCCCCATTTAAATGACATTCTTTGAGGAGCCCTTGAGAAAGCATAGTAGTCCCAAGATGCTGCATAGAATAACTTGGTGAATGACACCCATAAAAACCCAATTTTACCAGTTAGTGGATTTATTTACATTTACATAAAACTGTTTAGCTACAGAATAATATTAGAGTTCGCTGTGGGGAAAGCTAGAATTGAAGATGCATATTATGAAAAATGCTGCTAAATTAGGGAGGATTAGACAAATCAGTGATCAAGCTAAAGAACCAGGCCAAACCATGAGAGTTCCCACCCAAGCAATAAAAACAACTTTAGAGAATATCAAAACTTAAAAATGTTTTCAGTTTTTAAGATTTGGAGATTTGAAGAACTGTGTCAGCAAATCTACATGAATGGGGGGGAAAAACACTTCCCACAAATTTCAAGACAATTCAGCTTTGCTTCCAGGTCCAGATATCAAGTTGGGGATGAAGCATGGTGTGCCTACACTCCATTTGTGTAACAAAAATTGGAAATGTTTATTGCACAAACTGTTCTATCAGACTGCAAATACATTTATATAATGATACACCTGGCATAACTGCTTTGTTTAAAAAATTATCCCTCCTGCTGGCACTGTAGGCAATTTCCCCTTTGCCTCTTCACACGGAAACATAGGAAACAGATCAGACTAATCCAATTTTCTCTGAAGGGTCTTTGGCTCACCTCCTCAATGGGCAAACTTCATTCCTCCCCCACCCAAAAAAGCATTCATTTCCCTTCATCTATGGTTGTCCAACAGAGCAGAAAACAATTTGGCTAGGACTTACATCCTCTAAACTCTAAAGCATCCTGATATACAAAAATTTGTAATAGCTTTTCACAGCATGAAGCAGATTGAAAGTCTAACCCTAGCAGACAATTGAAAATTTGGCAACCACAACCTTACTTCTGGCATTCAGATAAATGACAGACAACTTAAATCAGACCCTTCTTTTAACATTTGAGAATAGAGTTAGAAGGGACCTTGGAGGTCTTCTAGCCCAACCAACCCCCTGTTCAAACATTTCATATCATTTCAGACAAATGGTTGTCCAGTCTCTTCTTGAAAACCTCCAATGATGAAGCACCCAGAACTTCTGAAGGCAAGCTGTTCCACTGGTTAATTGTCCTCCCTGGAAGTTGCTTAATTCCAGATTGCTTCTCTCCTTGATTAGTTTCCATCCATTGTTTCTTGTCCTGTTCTCTGGTGCTTTGGAAAATAAGCTGATTCCCTTCTTTGTGGCAGCCCCTTAAACCCTGAAATACTGCTATCATGTCACCCCTTACCCTTTCCTCTATGCTAGCCAAATTCCACAATAATTCTTCATGTTTTAGTCTCCAGGCCTTTAATCATCTTGGTTGCTTTTCTTTGTACTTTTTCCAAAGTCTCAACATCTTTTTAGTAATTTGGTGACCAAAACTGGATGTAGTGTTCCAGGTGTGGCCTTACTAAAGCTTTATAAAGCAGTACTACCATTTCACCTGAATTTGATTCCGTGCCTCTGTTTATACAAGCAAGGATTGCATTAGCTTTTTTGGTTGTTCCCACACACTGCTAGCTCATGATGAAGGGATTATTGTCCACTAGGACTCCAAAGTCCTTCTTACCGTTACTGTTTTTGAGACAGGTTTCACCTAATCTGTACTTGTACCTTTGATTTTTCCTGCCTAAAGTGTAAAACTTTCAAGTCTGTCAAGATATTTTTGGATTCTGAGCTTGTCTTCTGGGATATTGGCTATTCTGACAGCTTAATGCCACCTCTAAATTTGATGAGTTACCCTTCTATTCTCTCATAAATCTAGATTTTTTTTAAAGTCAATTATTCTCAAACAGATCTTACTCTAACGATTATGCTTGTAGAATAGATGCAGGTAGCAATAAAGCCAATTCTCCAGCAGATATTAAGCAGGGAGGAACAAGTAATGAGGCACTGGAAAAGAGGTGTGACCCAACCTATCTGCCCTCACTTATAGTACCTGAACTAGGTGGCCTATTGTTGTTTGATGCAGTGCAGATAGCAACAAGTCTCAGTGGGGGCGAAAGTATAGAACTTGCAAGTGGTGGCATGTATTACGACTAAAGTCCTGTCCTTGTGTACAAAAAAAGCAGGAAAATGACTAGCATCTTCAGGAAAGATAACAGTTTAAGAACTGAATTATACAGCTATAAAACAGAGTGTTGAAACTTTATCTCATTTCTTAGACTGACGTGGTAGTGAAAAAGAAGGGGGTTGGACTAGAAGTTCTCCAAAGTCCCTTCCAGCTCTATTCTGATTGATAATCAATACAGTTTCCTCCTCCTCCCCTTCTATTTTTTTTTTAATTTGCATTCTTTCCATGAGATTTATGCTGACAGTATTTTGGAGTTATATTTTCCCTGCATTTAAAACCCTTTCCATCATTTCGATGTGCTACATTTTCAATGGTGGGATTCAATTGTTTTTTTTACTACTGGTACTGTGAGTGTGGTTGGTGGGCGTGGCAGGGGAAGGATACTGTAAAATCTCTAGTCAGAGGTGGTATCTATTGGTTCTCCGAACTACTCAAAATTTCCGCTACCGGTTCTCCAGAACTGGTCAGAACCTGCTGAATACCACCTCTGTTCATTTTGCATATTGCATTTTATTCAACATTTCAATCTGTTGTAAATTAGATTTGGGATTTAAAAATAATTAATTTTTAAAAATTGCTTCTAGTGAAAAAGCTTATGAAAAGACATCTAAGACTCCAGAGAGCTATTGATATACAGATAAAAAAGGCTCGCAAATTAGCCGACCGCTATTTCAGTTTTATTCACTGCTGACATGAATTATTCTCTCACACACTGGTCTGTTACAAACATCAATAATTATCCTAATAATAATAAAACCCACAGTGAGGCACTACCTTGATGCTGTGGGAATTTCTCTATGAATTTTCCCAATCTATTTTTAAAGACTTCTAATGGAGCAGACGGCTTGCAATAAGCTCAAATGAATTAATTATTTTTATGACATAGGTTTTATTTTGGAATAGCAAGGGCTGCCAATCTCAGACATTCATTTGCGTGAATGAAATGATATCAAGATAGAATCTTTTAAAAACTATAGAACAGTTTTTAAACAATGAAAAGAAACTTTGGGACTTCCTCTGTAGGAGTTCTGCCACAGTCTTTTTTTCCCTTCTATATTTGGAAACGGACAGGAAACAGATGTGGAAAAGCCGGCTGCTGCTATTCTCAAACAGTAACTGGGGGAGTATGAATGACTTTAAGGGCATCAGTTCATGCGCACTCACTCACAGACATACACACCAAGGGTATCAGATACAAAACCAGGAAAGATCTGCATTTACGCTGCACCTTCCTGTCTGCGTAAGCAGATATAACTGTCCCTCTTCCTTTGCTGTCTGAGCTGAGAGGACATTAGCCCCTGTTCTGATAGAAGTGTGCAAAGTTCCATTATGACAGCATTTTAAACCATGAAAAATAAGTGTGCGAGAAACCATGAAAAATGGGATCCTCATTTCAAACTTGATGCTACTGACAAAATAATCTAAGGGTTAAATACAATCTCAATAGCATGAATAAATAATAAAAGCGGCTATAAAAATTTATTTTTGATGTTACATAAAATTTAAATGTTTAATAATAATATTAAACATAACATTTCTTTATCATGTTTGAAAGAGTGAACATCACATAGACAACTTTCCCACCCTGACTCTTCTTCATAAATGACTGCTGGAGGCAAAACTGGATAGCCCCCTAATTTCATGCAGCCATGTGCCCAGCAAAGCATGTTTCAAAAGAAGAAAGAGGAGCTACCAGATTGAGAAAGAAAATGTAAAAAGAAAAAAAAAGAAAATGCAACCCAAATTTTCTATTCAGAAAAGCTGAAGAGAACTTTTAAAAAGAGACATTACCTTTTTTTCTTTGCCACATCCCTGTATATGGACCAACACTTCCTGCATAGTCACACTTCTCAGACCAAGGACCATTGTCCCCTAGAAAGATAAGAAGAGACCTTGTTAATAAACAGAACAGGAAGGTGTCTTTCATTGGAAACAGTACGAGTAGCTACAGCCAGGTTATGGTTGAAGGGCCAGAGAGTGTAGTTCCCATTTCTTTCAACTGAATATTATTTATATTAACAATTACATATGATTAATCATGCTTCATCAAGCTTCTTTTTCTTATGCTATCAAATAGGTCATATGAAACTGGAAAGGAAGGTACAAGATCAGTGGTGGGTTTCAAAGAGGTTTACCACTGGTTTGGTGGGTGTGTCTTGGTGGGCGCACTTTGTACGCACGCCAAATGCACACTTTGTGCATGTGCAGAGGCTTTCCTACTCACCTCCTGCAATCCCTGTAGCTTCAACAGCTGATGCGCAGCAATCTGCTGTGCCGCGCAAAGCAACTGCGCTTCAAAAGCAGGGAATAAAGACCAGTGTGGGAGCCCGGGTGGGCCCAATAGCAACTCCTCAGAGAGAACCAGTTCAGTCTCAACTGATCTTTGGCATTACCAATACGCCAGAACTGGGCCAAACCGGTAGAATAGCACCACTGTATAAGATTATAAAGGATATACAAGACCTCAGAATTCCATCCCTGCAGGGATTCACCTGTTCCTTAATGCAGGAGTTTTAATATATTCTCAAAAATGTTTTCAGAGAAAACAAAGGAAATCCGTCACTTTTTTGTTAAAATCCCTGACCCACCAAAATAAAGTGTGTCATTGTAGGTACAATTCTAAAATAAAGGTTTAGATTGCAGAAACAAAATGGGTGCCTGCAATCTAAACTTTCATATCAACAAACAAGCATGGTGATTATGCAAAACATGGGGATAAGATCAAGTTGGCCTAACAAATCTATTGGCTGGTGGAAAAATAAATAGCAAAGGCTACCTGTATCCTACTTGAAATTTTAATTTATAAGGATGCTTTACAAGGGACTATTGAGGCTGAGAGAATACAGTCTTCAAATCCTGAGCTGGGCTAGGATCTGGAATGACTCAGGAGTTCACAGCCTCCCCAGCAAGTGTGAGCTTTTTCCAGATGATTACTAGTTCAACCCATTTCCCATCTTTTCCTGTTTGCATGTTTTTGATCTATACCAAACAGAACTGACATATTCTCCTGCAGAGTAACATGGGGCTAATGTGGAAATTCTTATTATCTACAGTTGGGCACCCCTTCTTGTGTTCATTATTTTCCTCAGCACTTATAGCTGACAAATTACAGTATTGATCTGAACATTTTTTTCTTTTTCCTCTTCTATTTACATTTACATCTATTCTAGTTACTCGTTATTCTTATTTTCACTCTTTCTTTTCTAATATTTATATCGATTTTATTTTGTTAAAAAAATATTTGTCATAGTTATATGGCTAACCATCTCACAAGAGTGTATCTATTCACAACAGTGAATGAGCTTAATAAAAATTTCTTTCATAAAATTTGTATATTTTTTTAAAAGAAACCCTGGCTGCCAAACCATACTGAATAGCAAATAGGTCCCTTTCCTTCAAGAGGAATCTAAACAGGGCTGTGAAGCAGGACAATTACAGACAAACTCTAAAAGATTAGCATTTTTTCCCCTCAAAACATGGAAAACAACTTGCAGAGAGACTTTTTACCTGAGTGAGGAGGAAAACTATTTGCCACTTGAATAATTCTTAAGGATTGGGAGACAAAACAATAATAAGAAAGAGTTTGCCTTGGAATTTAATGAACCACGTTTTACTTCCCCCACTTGGGAGAAAACAACTCATTAACAGCAGACTTCGGAACTGGCTATTTTGTTCTTATGTAATGAAGTGCTTAATTATTAGTCAAAGGTGACAAGGTTTGTGTTTTTGGCTAGAATTGAAGAATTCATTCACGGAAACAATGCCTATGGTGAACAAACTTCATAAAGGGGTACTGATATGTGCAAAACCCCTTTAAAATTGTAAGTACATTGGGCAGCCTGTTCATCTCCCACATTAAATCTGGTGACAAGAAAGAATACCTGCTAAGGTTAACCTATACCACACAGGTTTTCTTGAGAACAATCTAGAACCAGCCAGTTGTATCAACTCATCTGCTTCATGGCTAAAACTTAGCTACAGCTATGTAAATGTTGTAAGTTCAGAAGAAGCAAGGATTCTTAAGATTCAAAGGAGAACAGAACTGTATGCTATGCCCTCAATCAGTGACTCAAATTTACACTGAATCTGAAACCCTTGCTCTGGCTTATTATAGAAAAACAAAAAAGCACTTTTATAAAAGCAGAACTTGTGTGCTGATTTCTCTTTTCAGAAAGGAGCCCAGCTGTGTGGAGAAAATAAGTTTACTCAATAGAATTCAAGACTTGATGGGTTATCCAAGACCATGTGACACTGGATGATTACTGAAGTTAAAAGGAGGAGGGCATTGCCCAGTTTCTTAAGTAGAAGACTCAGGACAACTCATCAGAGGTGGTATTCAGAGGTTCTGACCAGTTCTGGAGAACCAGTAGCGGAAATTTTGAGTACTTTGGAGAACTGGCAAATACCACCTCTGACTGGCCCCGCCAGTCAGATAGTTCCATTCCTACTGATGAGAGTGTGATCAGGAAAATATTAGAATGTGCAGAAATGAATAGTTAACACTTGCAATTAAAGAGAAGGAACAAACTGAATATTATATGATATGAAAACTATTTTATCGATGGCTAGAGAATAAATATGAAAGTTAGAAACAAAACATGATTAGTGAAATATAGAAAATATGTTAATAGAATTAAATACGTTAAGATGAGGATTGTTATAATAATTAGATATATTATGTATATCAGTATTAAGAGAATTAATATTGATGTAATGAATAAAGCTGTAAACTCTAATTGTTATTGCACAAGATATTTGTACCCAGATGACACACCAGTTAATAGAAGATGGATTGTTTGTATTAAAAATAAAAATATTTTAAAAAATTATAGTTCCAGTACATTCATCTGAATATTAATAACAAGTGTTGTTATTCAGCTGGATGTCCCACTGGTTTAAAAACCATTTCTGATAGTTTATGACTAGATCTAGCAATGGATAAAGTTGTTTAAGTTCTTGCAGGTACAACAAGTACAAGCACACACACAAATATTCCTCCATTCTATCGCAGCAACTTTTAAATTTGTTCCATGAATTCCTAAGGGTACAACATTTTTATTAGCAGAGATTCATTTGGAGGGCAGGAGCTACCAGCTGATCCTTGAAAAGGAGGCCTTCCTGAATCAATCTCCATCTTTTTTCTCTCTAAAGCTCTTAGAACCGATTGAGTATATGACAAAATAAGTCTCTAGGACAGGGGTCCCCAAACCTGGCAACTTTAAGACTTGTTGGTTTCACCTGTAAACCAGAGGAATGTATCTTCCTTTGCTGTGCTGTCAACCGCATCCTTGATCTGTCCCACCAAGGCATCCATTTCCTTCAAGTATGTTCCATAGGGATCTTGGCAAGATGGATTCCAAGATGCCTCAGACAAAACCAAAGGCACATGCATATGAGCCAGAGCAAGATATAAGAAGAAAGGAAAGCCTTTCTGGCTGGAAAACGAAATAAAATAAAGATTTGCAACAGTTAATTATGTGGAGGAGCAACATTCTTGCTCAGAATTATTACACCTACCATTACTAGTGGTAAACTAGTCTCACACAGCAACTGACTAAAATTCCAACAGTTGTATAGGTAGTCCTTGACTTACAACCATTCATTTACTGATCATTCAGTTACAAAGGCATTGAAAAAGTGACTTATGACCGGTTTCCACACTTAAGACCGTTGTAGCATCCTTGTGGTCATGCAGGCATTTGGCAACCAGACTGTATTTATTGACAGTTGCAGAGTCCCAGGTGATCACAATTTATAATCTTCCCAGCCGGTTTCCAACAAGCCAAGAAAATGGGGAAAATCAGGTTTGTTTATTAACTGCACAATTCATTTAACAACTTCAGTGATTAGCTTAACAAATGTGGCAAAGAAAGGTAGCAAAATCAAGTGCAATTCACTTGACAACTGTCTTGCTTAGCCACATAAATTTTGGGATCAATTGTGGTCATAAGTCGAAGACTGCCTCTACTTCTGTATTTTCTTTTCTTTTGGCTTCTTAAGCAAATCTCCTTTCCTATCAAACTTTCATTTATCTCATTTCCTAAACCTGTTCATATCAGCTTTCCTTGCATGCATTTATTCATAAAAAGGTGACCAAGTGATTCCGAGCAACTTATATTTTTAAAAACGACAGCAATTACAATAATACAAATTTATAAAAGTATAACTGTAAACTGGAGATAACGAAATTCTTGCATTTTCCTCAGGAAGAAATTATTGTTAATTCACATTTAATTAGAAGATACATTAAAGCAGATATGTGCAAAATTTTAGGAATCAAAGCTAGATTTTCCTTTTATATGTTGAGGAACCATGGCTTGGAATTGAGCAGTGATAGGCAAAAACGAAATTGGATTAATGTTTATTTTAATTAAAATTAAATACAGTTAATGCTTTTATTCTCTCTGTATTTAATAATTTCCCTTTTATTTACTTGATAATTTCCCAATTGGCTGTTACAAAATTCTATCTTGGCTATACAAGTTGGATTAAATGATGTCTACGACATCATACTTGACCTAACAAATACTGGGAAACCAAAGGCTGGAACTGTTGCTACTTTTTACTGGGATGAATGGAAAAACAGCTTGTTTTAGCATTTTCTGGAATTCTTCTGTTTGCACTGTTTGTCCTCTGTTGTCATCTCACAGCTTTGAGAATCACTTTGCAACATAAGCCTCCACCCAGTTGAGCAACTGATTTAAAAAAAAAAGCTGACAGGAATAATTTTCCCTTCTTGCACTGAAATTTGTCAACACTTTTCATTTCACTGAAACAACACACAGGAACAGTTTCTCTCAGCACCACTCCTGTTTGGTCTCTTTCACAGAGGCTGAAGCAAGAGTTGTACAATGTCACTTTCTTCCCCAATCTTCTTAATCAAAAGATTGATCCATACAGCTTTGACCCACACCTTTGTTTCTTTATATTTTTTATTAGAATTTTAAATAGAATAAAAGTATAAAGAATCAAAGGAAAGCTTAAAAAAGAAAATAATAAATAGAATTATGACTTCCTTCTCTCTCTCTCTATCAAGTAGTTACCATCCTATTCCATTTCCTCCCTCTTTTTTTATTCTTTAACTATACCTTGAATTACCTTGAGGTAAAATGGGCGGCCTATAAATTTTATAAATAAATATCAACATTTCTATAACCCCATATCACATGTAACTTCTGGAATTCACTTCACTGATTTCTATATCACCAGAGCTGAACTCTAGGAAAAAGTTTGGAAGACTTCGACAGCCCTTCTTCAGTATACAATTAAAGCAAGCACATTTTTAAAAACCAGTAAAAACCAGTCACAGGCTGTTGCTATGTCCTTTCTACATAAAAGATATAGATCAGGAAGTTTTTCTGGCAGTGGGCATTAAGGCGGTTTTGCACAATGCTGCAGATGTAAAACAATGCTTATACATTTAGAATAAAAATGGTTGAAATTACACTAGAGCTCATAGAACAGGTATCTCTGTCTAAAATTTTCCATTTTTATAAATACATACATATTTTAAAATAGAAGTCAATGAGGATTATCTAGTGGTTGGATCAGCAAAATGGTGCCTGATGTTAGCAGCCCCCAGGCAGAGTAGATGGAAGAAGCAGGAATTTATTCTTCCCAGCAAGATGTCTATCATACAGTAATAGTGCTATTACTCCAACTTGCAGAAATCCCCCAAGGCCTCATAATGTTGTAACTTTGAGGTCAAAGATTGAACAAGAAGGTTGAACGTTCCTCTATTTTTATCGTTCCTGGGTTTTGTCACTAAGAGAAATAGTTGAACAATGTGGTCCATTCTTACTGCTCACTTACAAATTTTTGGGTCACTGAAATGTATTAGAAAAATTGTTAACCTTGCAAAGGTTTATATTTAATTGCCAGGTCAGGAAATATTAATTAACTTGTACTGAAATGTTAACATTGCTCCCCAGTTGATCTCATTCTGTAGGACAGACAGGGAATGTTATATTTTTGAGTAGGAAAGAAAGGGGGGGGGGAGAGAAAGAAAGAGAGAAAAACAATCTTGATCAATATTTTCTTGACCTTCTTGGAAGTTAACAACTTTCTTAACCTCCAAGCCCTTTAAGAGCTACAAAAGTATAAATCTTTCTTTCCTTCCTTTTCTTCTTAGGAAAGCTTAGTATGGTTACATTTGGGAAAGGATATGAAGTGTGGGAAGCACAAGTGGGCTAGGAATAAAGCTGAGAAATCTTTTGAAGAAATAATTACGGAATAGAATTCTATTTCAAGCAGGGTTCATAATATTCTTTAAATATCTGCACCAATTCAAAAACTCAACTGCATTAAGAACGCTGCAGCTCTTTAGATACTAATGAGTTTAGAGCACCCACATCTACCAGTATATGTTTCATCACTTTGAGCACAGATCAGTCACTGCCTGCTGCAATGTAAGAAGCGGTGGCTGTTACTTTGTTTGTTTATTATTTATTTATTATATTTATATAACCACTGATCTTTCAACCAACTCTGGGCAGCTCCAATAAAAAATTAACCCCAAGACTTAAGTCATTTTCCATAGACACTAGCCATTGAGAATGCATGAGCTGATAAAGGATTAAGAGAAATAAACCACTGTATTACAACGCTTGCTTGTTTTGGAAGTACAATTTGCTCACTTCTTGACTTATGCCCAAATTTTTTGTTGCTAAGTGAGAAAGTTGTTAACTGAATTTTGCCCCATTTTACAATCTTTCTTGCCACAGTTGTTAAATTAATCACTGTAGTTGTTCAATTAGTAACACAGTTATTAAATGAATCTGATTTCCCCACAGATTTTGCTTGTCAGAAGATTGCAAAAGGAGATTACATGACCCTGGCACACTGCAATGGTCATGAATATGAATCAGTTGCCCAGTATCTGAATTTTGATCACATGACCATGGGGTTGCTGTGTGAAAAACAGTCATAAGTCAGGGCCATTATGTCTTTGAACGGTCACTAAATGAACTGATGTTAAGTCGAGGACTACCTATACTGTTTACTTACAGGATGATAAGCTTAAATGCCACCATTGTTATTTTATTTTTTTCCTCTTCAATGTGCAGTGGCATCTGTGAAAGAGGGGGTGAGGGTCAAAAAAGGCAAGATGGCAGGAAGCTTCTTTTATACATAGAGCAAGGCTAATACAATACAATTGCAATACCAATTCCACCATCTTGTCTGTTTTTATTCCTCCCACAGACAATGCTACCAGTGTGACTTGCTGGCTAAAAGAATTACTTTCCTTGAAACTTAGCTATTTCTGAATTACTAATCCTGAATTAAATGCAAGTGCACCACTTTTTCTCCTCAGGGTTAATGAAGAAAGACCCTTGATTTTTGTCCAGGTGCGATTTTGTGAGCTACTTTTCCCATACACTGTGTCAAACTTTCCTTTGCTCACATATTCTCTGAATCCTTAATGCCCACTAAAACTCAGAGCTGCTAGACTTTTGCTCACTTCTCATTAATTGATTAATCAATAAATTCAGGATAAACAAAGAATGGGAAAACCTCTCTGAAAACGGTCCAACGCTAGAAAAGGTGGAAGGAAAGATAAGAAAAGGATGACCAATAGTAAGGCGGATGGATGCCAGTTTCAGTGCTGAAGGGTGTACTATTAGAAGACCCAGGTTTCAGACAGATCACCATGTGGGAAATCTATGTGGTTGCTACTCAGAGTCGAAAATGACTTGATAGGACATTCAATCGATCAAAACACAGAATGGATCGACAAGATGTACAAATCCAGATCTAAAGTCCCTCATTTCTCTCTCAGGAAATGGCTTTTTCCCAGGACCTACACATGGAACAGTTTACTTCTCCCTGCTATTATTTAGCAAATAACGCCATTTTCTATTATGCACTAATTTACAGCTGACTTGCTACGCAAAGCAGTTTCTTTTAATACTATAATAAATCACTTGCATTAAAATAACAACTGTTACATCAACCTTCATATACTTTCCAGGAAAGAAGAGGATCTGGCAAGAATGGAAGATAAAGAAATCCTCTTTGACTCATCAGCAAAGAATGTTGAGGCATCTTAAATGTTAGATTTATTATAGTGCATAAATGTTTGTAGAAACAAAAGGATCCTCATCTGCCTCCAGTATTGTGCAGAAACAAGACTGAATGTGTGTGTGAGTTTATATACAAAGAAATATGATCCATGAACAATACAATTTAATTTCTTAATGAATCCTATATCAAGTATTTTATAACAAAATCTATCTAAAACCAGTGTAACACTAGCTTCTGGGATACTGAAAATATTT